CGGTAACATCCAAGCATACAATCGGAACATTTCGTATTATTACAGTGTTTTTGGTGATTTTTTCTGGAAAATAAGTGACCATGGGCCCCAAGAAAGCTTCTAGTGCCAACCCTACAGCAATAAGGGTGAGAATTACTATAGAGATGAAGAAAAAGATCATTGATAAGTATGAAAGTGGAGTGCGTGTCTCCGAGCTGGCCAGGTTGTATAATAAACCCCAATCAACCATCGCTACTAATTGGTGGTACAGCTGCTGCTGCTGCTGCTGTACCACCGTCAGCTGCTGCTGCTGTTGTACCACCGTCAGCTGCTGCTGCTGCTGTAGTACCGTCTGCTGCTGCTGTAGCATCGTCTGCTGCTGCTGTAGCATCGTCTGCTGCTGCTGTAGCATCGTTTGCTGCTGCTGTAGCATCGTCTGCTGCTGCTGTAGCATCGTCTGTTGCTGCTGTAGCATCGTCTGTCGCTGCTGTAGCATCGTCTGCTGCTGCTGTAGCATCGTCTGTTGCTGCTGTAGCATCGTCTGCTGCTGCTGTAGCATCGTCTGTTGCTGCTGTAGCATCGTCTGTTGCTGCTGTACCACCGTCAGCTGCTGCTGCTGCTGTAGCACCGTTGTTGGTGTGGCTTATTGAGAATACCAAGAAACAATTAACCCCAGAGGATTTGCCACCCAGGATAACCCAAAAAAGTCAGTGTCATTGAAGACTGTCTAACTTATTTCCATTGGGGTCCTTAATCTTGTCTCCCAGGATGCAACCCACACCAGTCGACTAACACCCAGGTGAACAGGGAAAAACGCCTGGAACTAGCGCTCATATTGGTGAATTTAAAGCCAGCTAAGGTTGGTTTGAGAGATTTAAGAATCGCTGTTGCTGGATCAGTCAGCTGTTGCTGGATCAGTCAGCTGTTGCTGGATCAGTCAGCTGTTGCTGGACCAGTCAGCTGTTGCTGGACCAGTCAGCTGTTGCTGGATCAGTCAGCTGTTGCTGGACCAGTCAGCTGCTGCTGCACCACGGTCAGCTGCTGTTGCACCATCAGCTGTCTCTGAACATGACTCGTCCTGAACCTGTCCCGAACCTGTCCGTCCAGCCTGAGCGCCTGCCTTGCCGTCAGTGTTTACAAGCCAGGGTGGCCGGTTGCATGCATACATTCGATACATTTTGTATTATTCCATTATTTATAGTGCTTGTAACTGCTAAATAAGCCACCATGGGCCCAAAGAAAGCTTCTAGTGCCAACCCTGTGGTAAAAAGGGTGATAAATACTATCGTACCACAGTCAGCTGCTGCTGCACCACAGCTGCTGCTGCACCACAGCTGCAGCTGCACCACAGCTGCTGCTGCACCATGGTCAGCTGCACCACAGCTGTTGTTGTTGCTGCACCACCATCAGCTGTATTACTCGAAGATGTGGAGAGAGTGTTGTTGGTGTGGCTTAACGTGAAACAATTACCGAGAAACAATTAACCCCGGAGGGTTAGCCACCCAGGATAACCCAAGAAAGTCAGTGCATCATCGAGGACTGTCTAACTTATTTCCATTGGGGTCCTTAATCTTGTCTCCCAGGATGCAACCCACACCAGTCGACTAACACCCAGGTGAACAGGGAAAAATGCCTGGAACTAGTGCTCATATTGGTGAATTTAAAGCCAGCAAAGGTTGGTTTGAGAGATTTAAGAATCGTAGTGGCATACACAGTGTGATCAGGCCTGTTCTGGAAGAAAATGCCAAACAGGACCTACAGTACTCAGGAGGAAAAGGCACTCCCAGGACACAGTGTCTCATCAGTCATTGCTGCATCTTCAATAAAGGTAAGTGTCATTTATTCTTCATTTAGTAGAGTAGTACATGCACAATATATATTGTGCATGTACTACTCTACTATTGTGCATGTATCCTTCTCTTTGTGTGTAGGAAAATGTATATTTCATGTGGTAAAAATTTTTTTTTCATACTTTTGGGTGTCTTGCACGGATTAATTTGATTTCCATTATTTCTTATGGGGAAAATTCATTCGCATACCGAACATTTCGCATAACAACCAGCCCTCTTGCACGGATTAAGGTCGCTATGCGGGGGTCCACTGTAGTGTCCAGAATAAACAATGCAGGCATTCCTGGCGCTAAACTAACATTTCCTCTGTTCATTAGTTATGTTTTCAGGCTTTATTAATGAATTCCATTTTGATTTTTTGATTCACATAATGAATTTTTATTCAAACCCAAAAATAAAAGATTTACTGTTATGTAATATTGTAATAATTGTATAAATAATATAACCATATTTGTGAATGTATATTAGACCCACCAGCTGGCGTGTATTAGACGTGTGAGGTCATTTGTTTACTCTTGAACATCGGGAAAAAATTAACATTTCCGCTACTCTGAGCTCAGTTTCAAGGCATTTCCAGTACTAAAACCAATCAAAATCATCTCTATTTCTGTAATATATCTTCCCTTCTCTCATTATGCACTATGTGCTGCATGATTTGTTTTATGTGGTACACACATACCGCACAGATGTATTCTCTCATATCTAGGCCGAAATTTACCACTCACAGCTTATCAGAGTGAGCTGAGCTCATGACGTTGATCTACGGTTTGGACCCTCAACGTAAAGCCATAGATCTCAACGTAAAGCCATAGATCTACGGCACGGACCCTCAAAGGGTTAAAGAGCTGCCAGAAAGAGACCTCTCTGAACAGATTTTTTGTGCGACAGGGGTCCAGTGACTTTCAAGCTGGTCCTAGTGCCAGTAAAAGACAAAGGGCAGTAACCCTGGATAGGGCCTTGATACCTGAAGTCCTTATGGAGGGGGATTCCCCTTCCAAACAATAACCTCTCCTCCTCCCTCTCCCCTCCTCCTATAGTTCTTCTCTATAAAATGTATTTTTTGTTAATGTTTTTGGGTGTCTGGAATGGAGTAATTGGATTTACATTATTTCTTATGGGAAATATTACTTCAGTTTTCATACAATTCGGTTTTTGTCAGACTTTCTGAGACTAATTAATCACAGAAACCAAGGATCCACTGTATATCTTCCATTCTATCAAATGAGACCAAGAAACTCTGAATACAACCGTAAAAACCATACGAAAATACATTGCTAAGTCAGCGTTTTAATCCAAACACAGTCGCAGTTTTTTCCCTCATTATGCACTGTGCTGCAGGATTTGTTTTATATGGCGCACACTTACCACATAGATCCATTCTCTCATATAGAGGCCCAAATTTACCACTCACAGCTTATCTGAGTGAGCCGAGCTCATGGCATGGAACTACGAATTGGACCGTGTGGACAAGGCATAGATCTATGGTTTGGACCCTCCAAGGGTTAAGAAGAACATGTATGTAATAAATGTAGACCTTCCACTTGAAGAAAGTACAACAAATTATTTTTGTTCTTGAATACTGGCTGAAAGATCATGGAAAAATGACCAGTTAAGGCACACAAGAACCTACACACCCTGCAGTGTGTAAAGCTGATTAACCTTCATAGAAAAATGCATCAGTATTAAAAGCAATGAATGTTACCCAACACCATAACTGGCACACATTAGGCTTTCTGTTGCATGGTCCACAAAAACTTCATGTAAGCATTATTAGCAATCTTAATTTCACATATACCACACACATACATACAAGCATATGAATACATAATTTTCAAGAGAATACAGCAATAATTATGTGGCCCAAGAAGCTTCCCAAGGCAATATGCATCTTAGTAACATTGCATCATCATTCTCAATACATCAGGGCCCCAACATATGACATTAAAGTATTTTTTTTTTTTAAATGGTATTCAGAACATGAAACCTATTTTCCCAGAGACAACTATATTATAATTGGAGATGCATACCTCAGATATAATATTCCATATATAATTATTTATTTTTAACTAAGAATATTTACCTAATATTTTACATTCAGTACTGTTCCTTTCCACAATAGTATTACCTACTGATTAGTGTATATACCATGCTAATTATATACGACAGAGCTATAATGCTGTATACAGTACAGTAGGGCAACAGCTGCACTGACTCCCTCTTTCATTTTTGTTGTCCTATTCCCTCCCACCCTCTTGAATAGTACAGTATCTAATACAATAATATTTACATATGCTCACTACTTGTTCATTGCTATGGTTGAGTGTGGTGTGAAAACAATTAGTGACAAATGTGTAGGGGTGGGCAGTAGCTGAACTGTCTCCATTTCTCTCACTCTTATTCATTCCTATCTTCTCTCACACTGTATATAACACTAAACTATTTTCATAAGCTCACTACTCTCACTGTTATGAGTAGGATTAATGTGTCTAGGTAGTGGTTACGATAACTGAATGAGGGTGGGTGTGACACGAGCTCCCTCTGCCCTGCTCCTCACCCATGGATATGTCCGGTGGCAGCAGCAGCCACCACAGAACATAATTTAGTGTTAACCAAACTCTTAAAAAATGAAAAGCTCTCTCCACACATGAATATGAACAAAATACAGTACCATTGCATTTGGTGCAAACTAACCAAGAAAATATTTATAATTCAGTTTTACAAAAACTGTAAATATTAAATCTATATTTCTTGACTAATCACTATCAAAGAAATGTGAACTCTAAAAATGCATTAAATGAATGTGCACAAAAAAGGAATAATCACAGCTATGTGTGTGTTTATAAGTAATCAATTGATACTTAAGTGCCAATATTTTTAAGTGTGGAACATCATAAGTCAGGACCCTACTGTACAATGAAAATGATTACTTAATGGCAAATACCTTAGGTGTTAATTCTACAATACCTTGGCAAGCTTTACACCCAAGCTCATCCATGACAACCAAAAGCAAAACTCCTAGCCTGCTCATGGAAGATTTTCAAAACTTCCAAGTATAGGTCCTTGGAGGGTTTGCATTGTTGCTGCACTACATTGGCGACAACTCTAGCGTTTCTAAAGCACTCCAGATTTACAGGCCACTACCACCACTTCATGAATGAACATTTTTCATACTCCATCTCTGCCCAGAGCTGCCTGACGAAATACACTGCCTGCGGCGTTGGCTATGGAAAGTGAGCTGTTGCGTTGCGGCTCCTGGTAAGAGTAAGTCCACACGTTAACACTTATTAATTCATGGATAACAAAATATCAAGTATCTGTACTCCATTAGTCAAGTATTAAGAAAATAATAAGCACACTACATTAGTTGGAAAAATTATACTAAATGGACAACAATTTTGGCCATCCTAAACAGACTCAAATCTTATCCACTTTCCATGTCAAAAATTAAAATGTTCAACACAAATTTCAAATGCTCCTTAAAAGTCTGGGTGTGTTAAACCCCTTCAATCCTACCCTCAAACAGGACCCATTATTTCATTGGTCTTTTCACCTACAAATACATTATTTACAGATAAATTGTAATAAATGAACTAAAAACCTTTAAAAACTGTAGGGGAAAAATGTGTAGATTACCGTATCATTTGCACTATGACTCAAGCCTCAACCCAAGTACTGTACTCAGTTCTGCATATATTATAAATAAATGTGGTACAGTGGAACCTCTACTTACAAGTTTAATCCATTCCATGACCTTGCTTGCAACTGGATTTGCTTGTTTGCAGAGTAAATTTTCCTCATTTCAATTAACTGAAATGGAATTAATTCGTTCCAGTGGAATTCCAGGCACAAGAAAATACTTTAATAATTTCCTTAATATCAACTCTACAGCTTATTTATCTATCACAATTCATGTAATATGACAAACAGTATTAATAACAGAAACATGATGTATACACTAGAATGAATTAAATACATGTCATTAGTTATCTGGCTAGTGGTGGTGACAGCAGCCATTGTTGTTGGGGTTTATAGGGCCACCACAGCAGCCATTCCTGCTCCTGACTACATGTGTAGAGAACCTAAGATAACCCAAAAAAAGTCAGACAGTGACTTATAAGTGCTACACTCTTAATGCTTCACTTAATTGCTACAATTAATTGCTATACTCTTAATGCTTCACTTAATTGCTACACTCTTAATGCTACACTTTGCCACTGCTGCTTCATGTTGTCTGCCACTGCTACCTCATGATGTCTGCCACTGCTGCTTCATGTTGTCTGCCACTGCTGCTTCATGTTGTCTGCCATTGCTGCTTCATGTTGTCTGCCACTGCTGCTTCATGCTGTCTGCCACTGCTGCTTCATGCTGTCTGCCATTGCTGCTTCATGCTGTCTGCCACTGCTGCTTCATGTCTGCCACTGTTGCTTCATGTTGTCTGCCACTGCTGCTTCACGTTGTCTGCCACTGCTGCTTCATGTTGTCTGCCACTGCTGCTTCATGTTGTCTGCCACTGCTGCTTCATGTTGTCTGCCACTGCTGCTTCATGTTGTCTGCCACTGCTGCCTCATGATGTCTACCACTGATGTTGCCAAAGAATCGAATATTTCTGATATTTTGAGCTCAATTTCAAGGTACTTTCATCATGAAACCAATTAAAATCATATTTATTTTTGTAGTTTATCTTCCTTTCTATCACACGAGACCAAATAAAACGAGAATACAACCATAAAAACCATACGAAAATATACCGCTAAGGAGAGGCTAATGGCTGAGAAGTGAACTTCGTTATTTATGGTCCAATTTCTTTCATTTTTGGTGTACATTAAGAAGCATCTTTTCATCATACATTGCCCAAGTTTCAATAAGATAGTCCAACAAACAACTGAGATCCAATTCCCTAGATCAAGAGCAAGAGCCCCCTCACCAGTGTCAATTAACCTCCCTCGAGGCCCGCTTGCATCTGGAAATTTTGCTCGCATATGGAAGCAAAAAATCAACCGAGCAGTTGCTCGTATGTGGAAAAACTTGCACGTGGAAGCACTCATAAGTAGAGGTTCCACTGTATTTTCATTTCACCAGGTCATTTTTTCATTTAAACTACAATCTTTGTGGGGACTTCTTGCCTTTTCATTAATTTTCATCACGTGACGTTTATCAATATTAAGTCTCACCATTCCATGTAACCCTGTAACATTTCAGGATAATCTTAGTGTTCAACATTACATAAGAATTTAGTACCATTCACAACAAATTCACATGATTCAATTCTTTATGTTTATATGAAAAACTTGCTATAAACAAAAAGAATTACAGTAAGAAGTGATCCTTATAGGATCCCAATAACTTCATACAATGATTACTATTTTGCTCTTACGACTATGTCAATTTTTCTTCTAAAAACCAAGAACCTTATAAATTGTAATATATGACCTTTTTTACACACAAATATATATATACAGTACAATCTGCTCAATAATAACCCACATGGAGATAAGATGACGAGATTGATTTATCTGAATATTTCGACCCCCTTCTGGGATCCTCTTCAGCAGAGGATCCTAGGTGGTTGAAATACACAGATCAATTAATGTGCTGAGTTTCTGTCTCCATCTGGGTTATTATAGAGCATTAACAAGAGTTCATTAAACTTTGGTTATTCACATTATAATATGTACGTATGAGTGTGTACACTCACCTAGTTGTGGTTGCAGGGGTTGAGTCACAGCTCCTGGCCTGCCTCTTCCTGCTCCACAAACTTTATCATACATCTACTTAAAGCTATGTATGAATCCTGCCTCCACTACATCACTTTCCAGAGTACATATTCCACTTCCTGACAACCCTGTGACTGAAGAAATACTTCCTAACATCCCTGTGATTCATCTGAGTCTTCAACTTCCAACTGTGACCGCTTATTGCTGTGTCCCATCTCTGGAACATCCAAATCTAACTCTGTCCACCTTGTTGATTCCTCTCAGTATTTTATATCGTTATCATATTCCCCCTCTCTCTCCTCTCCTTCAGTGTCGTCAAGTCAATTTCCTTTAACCTCTCATGGTAGGACATGCCCCTTAGCTCCGGGGCTAGTCTTGTTGCAAACCTTTGCACTTTCTCTAGTTTCCTTACGTGCTTGGCTAGGTTAGGGTACCAAACTGTGGCTGCATACTCCAATATAGGCCTAATGTTCATGGTGTACAGTGTTTCGAATGATTCCTTATTAATATGTCGGAATGCTGTTCTTAGGTTTGCTAGGCGCCAGTATGCGGCAGCAGTTATTCAGTTGATGTGTGCCTCAGGAGATGTGCCCGGTGTTATACTTACCCCAAGATCCTTTTCCTTGAGTAAGGCTTGTAGTCTCTGGTCCCCTAGACTGTACTCCGTCTGTGGTCTTCTTTGCCCTTCCCCAATCTTCATGACTTTGCACTTGGTGGGGTTGAACTCCAGGAGTCAGTTTCTGGACTAGGCCTGCAGCCTGTCCAGATCCCTTTGTAGTTCTGCCTGGTCCTCATCTAACTCAATTCTTCTCATTAAAAAAAAAAAACCATACCACGGGTGGGGATAGAACCCACGATCAGAGAGTCTCAAAACTCCAGACCGTCGCGTTAGCCACTGGACCAGCTAGCCACAATAAGATTCGTCCAACTAGGTATATTTCCACACCATAGAAAGGTCAGCATAGGCACCACTGTGACCACAAATGCAAGTTTTTACAGTTGAATCTCCAGCTAGCGTGGCCATGACAAACTCTAGCTCAAGTCCCCTCAAAGTCGTTAACATGACTCACAAAATCGTAATGACACGATTGCAGACAAACCATACCACGGGCGGGGATAGAACCCACGATCAGAGTGTCTCAAAACTCAAGACTGTCGCATTAGCCATTGGACCAGCTAGCCACAATAAGATTCATCCAACTAGGTATATTTCTACACCATAAAAAGGTTAGCATAGGCACCACTGACCACACTAGCTGGAGATTCGTCTGTAAAAACTTGCATTTGTGGTCACAGTGGTGCCTATGCTAACCTTCCTATGGTGTATTATTATAATCAAAAAGAAGCGCTAAGCCACAAGGGCTATACAGCGCTGCAGGGTAGGGAAGGAAGCGAGGGTATTGGATGGCAGAAGGGAGGAGGGATGATCAGTAGGTTACAGAAAACAGCGGGGCAGGGGATAGTACGGGGATAGAGGGTAGCAAGAGATTGAAGTAGAAAGGGCTGAAGGTATCAGAATTTGTGAAGTAAGTCAGTTGTTGTCAAAAAGTCAATGAGAGAGTCTGGATGAAAGGTGGGTCCATCAGCGAGAAGGGAAGGTAAAGAGAGAGCAGCGGAGCGAAGACGACGACGGAGGTAAATTCTGCGTGCTCGCTGATAAAGTGGGCAGTCCAACAGAATGTGGCTGACTGATAATGGAACTTGGCAATTCTCACAGAGAGGAGCAGGGCGCCTCTCCATGAGATATCCATGAGTAAGACGAGTATGGCCAATGCGAAGACGGGAGAGAGTAGTCTCCCAACCTCGACACTGGTGATAAGAAGACGGCCAGTAACCTATACTCGGTTTAATAGATTGAAGTTTGTTGCCGAGCATAGTAGACCAACGTTGTTGCCAACGGGTGTGAAGTTGGGAAGATATTGCAGCAAAATAGTCCGTAAATGGAATACCTCTACATGAAACTGGTAGGTCATGTCCTGCTGACCGCGCAGCAGTGTCTGCCTGTTCATTGCCCTGTACGTCAACATGACCAGGGACCCAACAAAAAACAATATCTTTATGCTTGGTAAAGATGCGGCGTAGCCAAAGTTGGATACGGAGGACTAAGGGGCGAGGTGTATCAAATTTCTGTATAGCCTGTAAAGCACTAAGGGAGTCTGAGACAACCACAAATGATGACACAGGCATAGATGCAATACGGATAAGTACTGTAAGGATGGCATACAATTCGGCAGTAAAAATACTAGCCGAAGATAGTAAATGCCCTTGTACGACGCTGTCCGGAAACACTGCTGCGAATCCTACGCCGTCAGAAGACTTAGAGCCATCTGTGTACACAGCAATGGCATGAGAATGAGAGTGAAAGTGGTCAAGAAAAAGAGAGCGGGAAGCGACCGTAGACAGTTGGGCTTTCGAGCAAGGGAGAGAGAAAGAACAGACTCGAACAGCTGGAACTTCCCAGGGGTATGGGAAAAGTGAGATGCTACATGTACATAGAAAGGTGGTAATTGAAGAGAAGACAAGAGCGAATGAAGGCGA